GTGCGTGCGTGCGTGTGTTCGTGTTCGTGCGTGCGTGCGTGCGCGCGTGCGAGCATGGGTGCGTGCGTGGATGCGTGCGTGCGTGCGTGCGTGCGTGCGTACGTGCGTGTGTTCGTGCGTGCGTACCTGCGTGTTCGTGCGTGCGTGCGTGCGTGTGTGACAGCTGCTTCTGTGCTGTGGTCGACACGTGTCACTGATCATCGCATTGTCCTCACGTCTAGGAGGTCACACAGAGTTCGTGGCAGTGCTGCTGAGCATAGCGCAGGCTCTCACGCAGCATCTCAGCTTCATCCAGCTCCACGAGACAATGGTACGCGTTAGCGTCTGGCTTGAGCCTAGCGCAGACTTGCGACATTTTCATACAACTCGGCTGCGATTCTAGAATCGCAGTCGAAATTGCTGTGAAATCGCTACGTCTGCGGGAACGTGCAACTGCAACTCGTAGCGATTCTGGTCGCTTGCAACGAGTTGCAAGAAATCGAACTTGCAACTCGTCGCTCCCAATCGCTCTAAAATCGCTTCGAAATCGCATTGTGTGCGGGTAGACAGCGACTTGCATGCGCACACATGGTGAAGCGCGCGACCGATCGCATGCGGTTGCAGGTTGCAGCGACGAGCAACCAAGAGTCGCAAGTCCGCGCAAGGCTTTATTGAAGCAGAGTGTACTGTATACGCTGTATATTTCGCGGTGGTTTAATTTTCGCGAATTTTGCGGAACGCGTTCCCGACCGCGAAAATAACAACACGCGAATAATTCATACCGAATAATACCGAATAATTCGTAGTTCACCGACCGCAAAATTGACCACTCGCGAAATTGTCCGTCAAGTCTGAATTCGCGAAAATATATGTACGCGAAAAATATGGCGAAAAATATGGCGTATACAGTAATTGGATTCTTCGCCGGCATTTATGCATTATGGTCCACGAGGTCACATGTTTATCCCATCGCCGGATAGATGTGTTTTCAGCTCCACCAATATGTATATGTAAAATATGTTAAATATTTTTAATTCTCCTCTCTCATGCCTTATCTAATAACTCTTTACCAGGACTGTATATATATATATATATACATATATACATATATTACCGCGGCCTAGAAGAAATTGTACCTCACAGTATATGTAAACAAGGTGGCGCCACTGTTGCAGTGTCATAGACGTTAATCCCTCACGACGTGGCGCGATAACGTCGTGCATTCACAGCATATTGTACTGCACAGCGTCCATACACTAGGTGGCGCCAGTATGTTATCTAAACTGACGCTGCTCGCTCGCTGCATAGATGCTGAGACAGGTGGCGCCGGCGCTGCTGCGTCTCGCGGCGGCGGTGGCGGCGACGCTCGGGATCCGCGCGACCGCTCTCGGTCTCCTCGTCGCCATCGTCGCCGAGCTCCTGCCTTCCCCAGCAGGGGGCGCCGGCGAGAGATGCAGGAAGGACGATGCAGGGGGCGCCGGCGGCACGACGGTGGCAGACGTCTCAGAGCTCTTCGAAAAGGTTATTCCAGAGTGAGTGGCGATGTACGCGTTCTTAATGCGCGGCGGTTGTTTTTTTTGTGTAGGTTGTGCAAGTGTGTGATGCATGGACTCGTGTGTGTATTACACTCAAACCTGTAGGTAAGGATCAGTCGGGGAAACCCCCAAGTGTCCTTTATAGACAGGTGTTTGTTCTTTAGACGTGCTTTCTACTGTATAACTCCACTCAAAGGCAGTGGCAAGTGTGCTTTATAAACAGACGTTCATTGCGTAGAGGGTATGTCACTGTATAACTGGCCACAAGGGAAGTGGTAAAAAATGTCTTTTATAGACAGGTAAGTAAGTAAGTAAGTAAGTAAGTAAAAACCTTATTTAACTACGGTAAAACATGTTAGGTACAGACACAGTAAAATGGCGCGGACCTATCTTCCTCATGGCCGTCTCACAGCAATAGAACAGTTAAATATTAAATAAATACACAATAAGAGTTGAAGTACTTGGACTAAAATTGTACAGGGTAAGTAGAACACAATGGGCCCTATTGATAGGGCAAGATTATTTTTAGATGGACTTTAAAAGAAGAAATGGTGGGGGCATCTCGAATGTCAGGAGGTAATTTATTCCACTTAGATGCCGCAGCACACCGATTTTCTTAGCATTTCAGTGCGTGCACGGGGCGGATATAAACGTGCTTCATCTGCACACACACTACGCGTCCGTCTTGAGCTCACTTCATGTTTAAAAGTTTAAAAAAACCGTCAAGATAGGCTGGTGTGTGCTTACGTAAAATTTTGTAAGTTAAAAGAGATCTATGAGTGTTTATGACTGTTCGCCACCGTTGTTATTACCATCGATCTGATGGTAATAACAACGGTGGCGAACAGTCATAAATCCTAGCTGCGAAAACATTTCTTCAGTGCGGGCATCTGAAGGTCTACGAATGTTCAGAATCAAACGCGCAAAACGTTTCTGTATGTTAAAAAGTTTGTCAATATAACTCTTTGTGGCATTTCCCCACACAACAATACCATAATCAATATCAGGCAAAACAAAGCCAAAGTAAAACTTCAGGAAGGAATCATGGTCGAGAAATTTCCTGATCTGCAAAAATTTCAGCTTTTTTGATATCTTGGCACACACTTTCATTATGTGTTC